AACGAACGTCTGGGATAGGCAAGACACTCAAAACGTTCACTTTCATTGTCTCCTGAAGTGACCGCTGTGTCTATGCGCGCCGCCATCACCATGGCAATATATATTTTAAATGTAACATCTTTTAGTTTTGGACTGCTGCTCAGGCGTCTTTTATGATGAAAATCTTCAGATAACTCTGAATACTGCACTGTACTTGGCTTCATATCAGCAACTTCAACCTCTTCGACTGACTGAATACAGATGTAGTGTCTATGAAGCCTCACCTTTATGGCTGCCTCCCTGAGGGCCTCCAGTCGCTGTCTGCTGCTCTCCTTCATATTGACCACATCTCTGTAGTCTCCCTGCAGCGCCCTCTGCAGACTGTGCACCGCCTGGAACACTAGGTGCTCGCTTTCGTTGAGCTCTTTCTGGAAAACTTCAAGGGTGTGGACCTTAACATAGATAGAAAGACACCAGTCAGTCACTGAACTGTAAAGTATATGGAATCCTGTTTTGCTGAAGAACCTGTATGCGGTCTTTGTGCAGTGTAATTTACACAGTTGTCTGTCTGAGACTGGACATGATAAACAGGAGAAAATAGACCCATGTAATGAGTTATAGGAGGAAGAAGGGACATTCCTGTCAGAAATGTAATCTACTTTATTTGCCTTGACATGTTGTAGAGCGATAGCTAATGAGAAAGTAATTGAGAATTGGCTGCTTTAGCTGTTGGTGTTGGTCGTAGAACAGCAAGTGATTTTAAGACATCAAACGGTACATTTTTCATTATTTCCCTATGTTTTAAGGCCTCGAGATTAACTCATTAATCTAAACAAAATGACAGATTAATGCATACACGAAGTAAATTGCAATTTGCGGTTGATAGCTGCAGCTGTAATCTAACCAGGCCATCTCCTCTGAATATGTGAAACCTGAACCTAAGTATGAAATATAAACCTGCATTGTTATGAGCTATTGTGGCAACAAGAACGTGTCAACACACAGAGATAAACAGTCCATTTCTGTCACACACTTGGTGTAATTCAAGATAAACAGTCTCCAGAAAATCACTGTATCATGATGCCAACAGAAGGCCTTTTGTCCACCTGTTGTTTACTCTCAGTCTGGTACCTGGAAGTGCTTCTCCGCTTCTGAAAGACCTCGGTCTCTTCCCACAGCATCAGCAGCGGCTGCCAGCTTCTTGACAACCACATTCTTCTGATGCAGGAGACCCACCAGCCGCTTGCAGTTGCTGGCCACCCAGCTGTGGCTGTGTGTGGCCCCCTTGCCACGATAGAGCTTGATGGCATGCTGAGCCACCTGGTCTTTCTGCAGCACAGCAAGTGCCCCCGCCAGGACAAGGCACAGCAGCGAACATATGACCTGCATCCAAACCTCTACTTCTGCCTTCACAAGGGTGTAAGGTGTGATGTAGAGGAAGAGACCTGGAAGTGGAAAAGAATCGAGCATGACAGATGGTTGTAGCTCACGTACAATTGTTATTAGAAGAATCAACAAAAATTATACATTCAGATGCAAATACTGTGTTTTGAATACTTAAAAAGTGTAGCGGCTTCAAAGAGGCAGTAAGGGAAAGTGCAGATGTCAGAAGAATTTAAAGATTGATTTATTCCATAAAAAGACCAAAACTAACAATGAAATATTTATTTACTCAGCTTTACTTTTGTCTGTGATTAAAACCTCGAACAGTTTGTTCATCTGTGCAATAAAGTTACAAAGTTATCCCAAAACTGAAAAAACAAAAACAAAACTTTGAGTCACATATTCAAACATTCCAATCACTGTAGTTTATTTCAGTCTCACTCTAAATACTCACTGGGGAATCAAATGTGTTTTTATCTTCTTCTGATGTAGTCTCTAACATACACACTATTTACTCCTGATATAGGCACATTTGATGAGGAAAAACAGTGTCCTATTTTTGAAACAGCTGGGCCCCAACTGTATCAAAAATATATACAGATCTTGTTTAATTAACTGTATTTTAAGTATTTATTTGTGCCTTGTTTTCTTCAGTAGGGATAAATGGGCTTACTGGTGAGCTACAGACAGGCTGGGGCAGGTGGGAAGTATTGACAGATGGACTAAAAAATGTTTGTTTTGGTCTTTTCATGGGATTTGCTAACAATAATGAATACCCTTTAAAGAACAGACAGTGACAGTTTGTCCCAAAATGCATATGAAGTCTTAATGAAAGACTTCATATGATATACTATCCTTAAATGTAGGCTCCACTGTACTTTTGTGGAAACTGTTTTGTCCTATTGTCTCAACAGACATTTCAATGTTTAAGCAGGGTGTGTCACAGTGTGCTCATCTCTGATCTGTCCTAATGGCAGCTTCTACTGTTTAACACCTTAACTTGACTGAGCATGTCATGTGTCTAAATTCCAGTGCTTCTTGCTATTTTGCATACAGTTAATGTGACTATGCATTTCTATCTACACTTGGAAAACAGTGTCAGTTTAACAGTGGTGTCAGTTTACTTCTGAATCTTTAATTACATCAGCATACTGACTGAACGCGACTCACAGACAAGCTCGTCCGCGCCTTTGTGAGCATGAGTCAAGCTAAGTGATCTTTAGTTTCCAAGCTACTCCTCTGTCCTCCTTCCTACGACTGGACTCCAGCCACTCTGCTGCTGCTGGCAGAAATCAGTAGTGCCACTGTTCTGTGTTGCTGGAAAAAAAAAACAGAAAAAAACAAGCATACATCAACACAGAGACGTCCACAAATTTTAAAGGGTCCTTAATCTAATAGAAAACAGAAAATTTCAATCTTTCAGATAAGAGTGCACACACAGATGAACTACATAACAAAAACCTGAAATGCAATTTAAACATGTGCTCCTGTATTTTCTCTTATTCATCCTCACCTTTAATGGACGAAGTAGTGTAAGAAGTTTTCAGGTCATTCCCTAAAGCAACAATAACACGCGACAGAAATACTACATTACAAGTAAAAGCTCTGCCTTCTAAATTTTGCTCTAGCAAACCTACATACCCTCAAAAATAAAACTACTCAACTACTCACTGTTTGGTGGTATAATCTATGACTATGCATCATAACTCAGAAGGTGATCATAAAATGGGTTTGCATGGAAACAAAATTGTACAAAAAGCAATCAATTGCAGTATTTGTCCCCCACTGATCTGCACTTCAATTTGGACTCTTAAGTTACCAAACACCTTAAGATGCACATATATGACTAAGCAACACACACAGTTAAATAACAGACGTGTAAATGTAGCATAAAAGGCAAAAAGAAAAACTCTATATCATCCCTACAGTAAAAACACGAAGCTGGACAAATATCCAAGACATGAAGGATGTTTCAGACGAACCAGGAAACAGCATGGTGGGTGAAATCATGCATTTGTCCCAAACACAGATTTCCTCAACTCTTGTCACTAAGCATATCAGTGGAAATAAAGAAACAAAGGCTGCAACTACCTGGGAAATGCGTGTGCACTGTCCTGGCTCTTAACTCCACGACTGAAGCAGCAGCAGCAGCAGAAGAAGAAGAAGAAGAAGGGAACAATCATGCTGTTGTACCGCAGCACCACCACCACCACCACCACCGACACCCCTCCTCCCCTGCCACATAGCTGAAGCCAGCGTCGGTGCAGGCGTTCACCGTCCTTTACTTGGTGACTAACTTCATGTTTACTCCGACCTGCAGCCCGTCGGTACGAGTGCTAGCAGAGGGCAGGCTAACAACCAGGTAGGTATGACTGCTGTCGGTAAAAGAAAAAAAAAAATCCCCGCAGAAGCTTTAACACTTTTATTGTGGTGAAAGTTCATGTCCTCGATTTTTGAGCTGTTAGTAAAGCTAAGTTAGCCTCCAAATTCCTCGGAGCTGTCAGACCAGCTCCAGCCAGCTGAGTCCACACACACACTCCCATGACACACACCGCTAACGCAACTTTGCTAACATTTAGCAAAAAGAAAATAAGCTGTCATGTAACGTTGACGTGGCAGCAACTTTTCTTCAAAACATTGCCAAAGAGAAACATGAACGGCAGGTAAAAACTGAACAACTGTTGCGTTGTTTTCCGACTATAATCGTGTCGACATAATTTAGATCCATCCTCAGATTACTTCCGAAACATCTTTATCAGATTTGATATGGGAGTTGTAGTTTTCAGATGTTATGCATTTTCCGCTCGATTGTGTCATGTGTTTTTGAAATTGCGGGAGCTCTTCTCGGGTTCATTTAATTTTGACACCTCTGAACGGTTGTTTGGGGTTGTGTCGTTTCTTTTGAATAGCAGCAACACGGTTTTAAGTTGTACAAAGCTGAGTTTTCATCGACTGGTCTTGATCAAAAGTCACTCATATGGTGTGGTAGCACTGTGTATTAGATTCAAAGCAATACTGCGATGTATTCATTTGATTGAGTCTCAATAATAGGTGCGTTAATTAATAATAAAGTAAACATTTTGCTGAAACAGTTGTCAACTAATGCAGAAAGCTGTCGGGCTAAGTGAAACCAGCATACAGGCCCTGTTGAATTGCAGCGCCACAGAACTACATCTCCCATGATTCCAGCGGCCTTACAGTAGCGCAGTTCTTTTCGCGCATGCGCACCAGGGGTAATTGGATATCAAGTTGGCCAAAACAGCGGGTGATAAAATGGTAGGTAAGATTAAAAATGAGAAACCGGGAGAGTTGTTTAGCCCCGTTTAACAAGTGCCCCAACCGGGAGCAGCTGTCACTGCCGTTAAATAGGCACCGCGGTACGGGGGGTCGGGGTGTCCTCGGCCAAGTGTCGCATTGTCAGGGTGATGTGTGTCGGGAATATGAGGGAAATGGAAGGTCAGTTGTTGGTATTTTGAGATCGGACACCCGCACTTGCTCCACGTACCTTTCCCTTTTTGGTAGCTCGTCTTGTGCTGCCGCCCCGATGTCAGAAAAGCCTGCAGGATCAAACGCCCCCCCTCTGCCCAGGAAAAAAACTGGGTCGCCGAGCAGTGGCCTGTCACGGTGAATTTGCTGTTTGATCATCGGGTGGGTCAGGTCTGCAGTTCTGCAAAGACGTGAGATCCTCCCGATGACCGTGTAGATTAAATTAAAACAGGACGAGGTATTTGGTGAACTAACGGAGCCCCGTGGCGGTGCATTTGCAAGTGACACTGTTTTTCTTCACATGCTCTTGTGCTAACATAAAGGTTGTTGCAGGCTTGGTTTGAATCTTTTACTTTTTAATTACATGCATGCATTGCCGACCATACCCGTCCAAGCATAAGGTGTTTAGGTGCAGTTACCACAAGTTTGTTTTTGCAGCTTCTTAGGAAAAGTCCAGGTTTGAATGGAAATAAAATCTTTGCAGTCTGGTGTAGTCTACCGGGACTGTTGTATGTGCAGTGTGAACTCCACATGCATGTTTGTGCTCCCTATTTGCCCAAAGGCACACCTGGCAAAGCAGGCATCTGTCCCAGGGCCCCAGACACTTGGGGGTCCTGAATAAAGTTGCACTATATTGTTAAAAAAAAAATAACAACATGATATTTTGTTTTTCTGCAACATATATTGCAATTAAAAAAACATACTGGAACTTGTAGAGTTAAGTAAACACCATCCTCTTTAACAGTGTTTGTTTTTGCAACCAAATCTTCTTTTTTTCCTTCTTTTTCTCCAGTTTCTTGTTCATTTTGCTGTGCACATATGGAGTCTGTATGTCAACAAACTCTGTATATCGTGAATACACTTTTTTTTTTTTTTTTAAACTTACTTTATCCAAGAAACCCTAAAATTAAGTAAATGATATCTGACAGGCTTTACCTGTAGATTATCCATGGAAAATGACAACCATGCAAGTTTTCTTGTTTGTATCTAGCAGTAAAAAAGTTTTGCGTGATATGTTTGAGTTAATTTGCATACTTTATCTTGCCTTCCCTACAGTGTGCCTATGTGCACATTGCGAGGTCACAATATATTGTGCAGCTCCAGTCCTGAAGGTGCAGTGGTTGTCTGTGAGGAACAATTACTTTGTGGTGGTTAAATTATTTGCAGTTTTCTGTAGCTTTACATTTTTATCTGTATTTCAATGGGGGCCTGTATCCAGAATCTAGCTTTTATCCTTGTTACAATACATTAAATATTGTTCTTTCATGTTGTGTATTTTTTGCCCTGAAGCATACCTGCATTCACCCATGTGCTTGCTTCCTTTACAGCACAAGTTGAAGTCATCGCAGAAGGACAAGGTTCGGCAGTTCATGTCCTTTACACAAGCTGGGGAGAGGACAGCTGTGTACTGCCTGACGCAGAATGACTGGAAACTAGAAGTTGCCACAGACAACTACTTCCAGAACCCAGACCTTTACTACAAAGAATCCATGAAAACCTCAGTGGACCGCAAGAAGCTGGAGCAGCTCTACAACAGATACAAAGGCAAGTGGCCTGTAATTAATCAAACCCAATGTTAACAGAAGCGCAGTCGACCTGTTTTGCTCACTCTTGTTGCCTGTCTTTGCAGACCCTCAGGATGAGAATAAAATAGGCATCGATGGAATCCAGCAGTTCTGTGATGACCTGACTCTGGATCCGGCGAGCATGAGCATACTTGTGGTGGCGTGGAAGTTCAGAGCGGCTACGCAGTGCGAGTTTAGCAGGAAAGAGTTCCTGGATGGCATGTCCGAGCTAGGGTGAGCAACACTGACTCTGGAATCTACAGTGTTTGATAACAGATTATTCTGCCACATTTCTGACACGTAAAGGATTTTTCTTGGGTATATATAGTCTGTTAAGTATAGAGTTTGAAAGAACTTGAAGTTTCATATCTTGGACTATCTTCTCACGCCACTCCTTCATTGTTTCCTCCAGCTGTGACAGTCCCGAAAAGCTCAAGGCCATCCTTCCCAGACTAGAACAAGAGCTGAAAGATACAGGGAAGTTCAAAGATTTCTACCAGTTTACCTTCAATTTTGCCAAGAATCCAGGCCAGAAAGGTTTAGGTAAGCAGAACATGGAGGAAAAACATGCTTTGTTGTACAAATTGGTACAAATAATACACCAGCCCTTTTTAAAGATATACCCCAATATTCATAACTATCCAGCCTTTGAAGTTTTTCATCTACTTTCCAGACCTAGAGATGGCCGTGGCTTACTGGAATCTAGTCCTCACAGGTCGCTTCAAATTCTTGGATCTCTGGAACCGCTTCCTGTTGGTGAGTGTGGAGGTTTTGTTTTCTCTGTTAGTTTCATTTTGTGTGATTACAGTCATGACTTGATAAGCCACCCCATAACAATCCAAAAACCTTGCTATCCGACAGGTTTTTAGAAAAAACAAATGGAACCCATGAAAAATAGCCTTAACGTACCGACAGCCTTGGATTCCGACTCCGACATAAAGTTTTATGTCACAAATAAGGATAACGGTGTATTTTCTGACTTAACATATTTGACAGATTAGCTACGTTCAGACTACAGGACTTAATGCTCAATTCGGATTTTTTTGCGAGTTTGTTTTCATTTCCAATTGACAATCCAACAACCTTGCTATCCGACATAAAAGAAGGTTTTACATTTAGTGTCGGATAAACGAGTCACGACTGTATATGAGTGTGTTGGCCGGATATCTAAAGTGTACAAATATGTGAGTCTGTCACATTTAGGTAGGTTTTGGTCATCTAATTTACATGTACTCATAGATAAGCAGCCATTTGATGCAATCCGCAAAATGTATCCCCAAAAATGACCACAGAGGTCATGTAACACCTTTTTGAAAGTGATGACTAATTAAAGTTACAGTGGCTTTCATTAAGATATTATTACGTGTGTTTTATTCCTCTGATTACTATGTATTGTTAAACTTTTTTTTCTGTGATTGTGCTGCATTCAGGAGCATCACAAGCGGTCTATTCCCAAAGACACTTGGAATCTCCTTCTGGACTTCGGAAATATGATCGCAGACGACATGTCAAACTATGACGAGGAAGGTGAGTTTATGAAAAGCGTGAGTGCCCGGTGCCAGAATGAAAGCAAATCAGTGTAAATCTGATTAAGCCAGATAAAATATCATATAAATGCCTGACTATGATTCACAAGTCAAAGTAAAGTTCTAGAACTTGTGATCTACATGTGTCGTATATCTATATCTAACTAAAGAATAGAATAGAATAAAATAGAACAGAAAAATACTTTATTTATCCTAGGCCTGGGAAATTATTTTTAAAAAATTAGAGGCTTTTTAGTGAAATGCTTTCTTTAAGATGTCAAATAGATTTTTTTTCATAATAACGTCAGTATTCAAATAAACAAGAGTGTAATTTTGCCAAATCTTATTTTCGCCAACATTGCTTTGATCCATGTCAAACCATGTCCTCTTATTGTCCACTCACCAAAATCCAGAGTGGAGAAGCGCTGAGATGATCAGAAATTCTCCTTCGCTCATAGCATTTATAATGTAGGGAGTGGTTTATTTGTTTCAAAATATTTTGTGCCCCAAATATTGCCCCTTTGCCAATATACAAACTGCCCTACCTTGTTTGTGGAGGCTGTTGGTGCTGTACGCTGCTTGTTAAGAAGATTGGATAAACAACTATGATTTAAAAAAAAAAGATTATTTACAGGTAATTTGACAATAAAGACTCGGGGATTGACCATCAACAAACATAATACAGTAAAACACAGTGGTCTTTGTATTAAAGATAGAAATAAAAAGTTATTCAGTGAGTTTAAAAGTTAATTGCTGACACTGGTTGGTGCATTACAATGCAGCAGTTTATGTTGCTTTTGTGCATTATGGAATGACTTACTAATTTAATATTGAAAAGCAAAGAGCAAGTGTAATTATAAGTTAATGTTTGCTAGATGATACAAACGTATAGACGAGAAAAATAACCATTATATGACTTGTATACACGTATTTTGTTTTTGTTGAAGAATCTGTGGTTTTATTGTAGTGCGAAATTAAAATAATCAATAATGTCCCTCTCTCTGCTCTGCTCAGGAGCCTGGCCCGTCCTCATTGACGACTTCGTGGAGTTCGCCCGGCCGATTGTGACGGGGAGTAAACGCAACATGACATAATGTTTGTCCCAGCCTCATGCAGCGGATGGAGTTTCTGTTTCTTCCAATTTTCTTTTTCTGAATGAGGTTTTGATACAAATGAGCCAAAAAGAGACTACTTCTCAATAAGCCTGTCTGCAGCTTGTCATTAAGATTGTTCTTCCAACTGCATAAGATGCCTTGGATGGCGAGTGACCTGGAAAACCAGCTCAGAATGGAAAGCAGGAAGGGGAATCAACGAGAGAGGAAACGCTTGTTTTTTTTGTTTGTTTTTTTGTTGGTGTCTGCTGGCTTGGACAGACTTTGGAATTGCAATATGGAAACGGTGGGTACGCTAAAACTCAAATTACCAACGGGTGTAGCTTTGAGCTGCTACTGTGGACTCACTAACAAGCACCCTTGGCACAGTCAGAGCGAGCTTTTAGCACATGCAGAGGATTAAGTTATAGATGCAGTAGGATGTGGCCTCTTACAGTTGTGAATGGACCAGTATGTTAAAATCTGCATGTTTTTGTCAGCTGGTGTGAAGCAGTGCCATGGATGTTGCGGAGGAACAGAGTGACCTACATTATTTTCACTGAGATTGCGAATGTGTTGCTCTCTAACAATCACACCAAGAGCAGAGAAATGGCGTGCTTGCTTGTCATTGTATGTTTGTGTGTGTACGTGCGTGTGTGCGTGTGTGTGTGTGTGTGTGTGTGTGTGAGAGAGAGAGCTTGGTGGGGGTTAAACATATTGCCTATTTTACAATACAATGCTAAATATTATCATTTGGTTTTATTAATATAAGAAGTTAGGATGGTATGATTTGCCTTTTACTGAGTGACAGCGAAAACGTTCAGATCCACATTTTGTATCCAGACTGAGAGTTGGACAGAGCAGCATGCTTTTTGAGCTCAGCACCAGCAGAATCATATTGTTACAGTTGTAAATTTAAAAATTCACATAGAAATACGAAGATGAAATTTTAGATGAACAAAAATGTATATCTGAGAAAACAGGTAATGACCTTTATAATCGTGATTAGTACATAAGAAGCATTTAGGATCGTCATTTTTAAAATGCTACAGCGTTACATTTTTTTTTTTTAAGCTTTAGTTTTTGTTTTTTCTTTTGCTCTTGCAGTGTGTCAACATGTGTACACAAAACGAAACTGACTGGCACATTGACTGTTTTCTATTATCCAGGTGATGATCATATATCACCTCTGCAAACTGCACTGATTTACACTTTTTTCTGATTTAGGATTTTATTTTTTAAATCAGGCAGCACTGTATACAGCTACAGAGCTATTCGGGTTACTACAGTAGGTTTCACTTGCAAACTTTTTTAAAATGAACATCTACATCATAGCCAAGAGTATTTAAACTGTTTGTTTACACTGTTGGAGGTTTTGGTCTGCAGCTTTTATGTTAAAGCACCATAGAACTACTACAGAGGCACTCAACAATGCTGCGTGTGCTACCATCTAGGGGTGGCTGTGGGTTATAGCATTTCTCAATGCACTGTATTCAGACTCTACATCAAAGACTTGAGCCTATAAAACATAGTCAGTGCAGCAATGCTTAGTGTCACGTTTACGTGTAATTATTAACACTAAACCACCCTGCGTATGCTAAATGCAGTGTGACAGAAGGTAGAGCTCAGGTACCAGTCGTTCTCTCCCACTCATAGTGAGCAACGCTAGGCTTCCTGCACCCACATTTGTGTTTGCCATACTTTCTGTTCTGAACAGCGCCGCTGATCTTGTTATTGTCACCCCGATAGAACTTTTGCTATGTGTTGACATGTGGATGGAAATATCACAGCATCAAATTTCTCTGTTGTGTCAACAACTTCCGACAGGGGAAATAACTGCCTTTTATTAGTTATTAGGTTGATAAGTCATAAGTCATAAACTATGGTGATGCCCATGATTGTAGACTAAGAAGTTCAAGGCAAAATCGGATATGAAGTTTATTATGAATTCAGTCCCTCATAGAGTGCAGTGGCAAACAAGACAGTGAGTGTAGAAGCTGATTAAGGTGTCACACTGTTTATCATAGTAACTAAGCAAGTTAGACGTGTGTCGGTTCAATCAAATAGCTCATATAAAGTGTTCCTGACTGTGTTGCAGCTCTTCTGTTATACTGTCAAAGTTGTGCACAAACCCATCTTGGTCAAGGCAGTAACATGTGTGAAAGTTTTTTGGGGTTTTTCCCAGTTGACTGTTGTTTAAAACCTGATGTTCTGTGTGGTTCAGGAGCAAGAAAACATCTTTCAGTATTCAGTATGTTAGTATGGTACATCTGGTACGTTTTTAGTTGTCAAATGTGTGGTCCACTGTTTCTAGTCATACAGATCATTCTTAATGAAGCAGTATTATTTTTGCCAGCAAGGAAACAGGTATTTACAGAATAATATGTTTTGTTGCAGCAGCGTACCATACATTGTTTTCTTGAAAAATGGTGTCAATAAAGCATGTTGTTTTTAACAGTCTTGAAAAAGAAGTACTTTTGTGTAGCACTTACTTCTGACAACAGATATTTGCTTTGTTGTCAGTTGCTTTAAGATACTAAATGCTGGTTGCCAGGATTGTGTTGTGCTGAAATCAGTGTTCTGGTAAAATTTTTGAGAAATCGGGATGAATCACAACATATCATTAGAATTTTTAAAATGATTTTAATCGGGTATTTCATAGAATCAAAATATGTTGTGACTGAACAAGATAAAACTGACTTGTGTTACTATACTATGCAAAAACTGTCTCTGTCCTTGGTCTTGGACCCAACAGGTATTTATCCGAGCCAAACACTGACTGAATTCAGAGATATAAAGACTAACTGGCAGTAGAGAATGGAACAACAATAAAGTATAAAACAATCCCCATATTACTGCTGACAACCAGCTGCCCTGCAGTGTATATTTGAGCATACATAAAATGTCAGCTTGGTAACAGTTGTCTCTTATCAGGTTGCATTCCTGCTGCATATCATCATCATCATTGCTGGCTCTTCTGGTAATGCTTTGTCTGCTGTTACTGAGTATGTTTAGTTCTACATTCACCAGTAGAGGTCCACTGATATGTTTTTCAGGGTTATTTGCAATCAAGGACACTAATAACTGACATTTAGAACAGACAGATATTTGCAGTAAAAATGAAAATCTGGCTGTGAAATCATTTTGGATTGACACAAATACCAGCACAAAACTTAAATAAAGTACCTTCATTCATATGTGTTTTCCATATGTTTAAATAAAAGAGAACTTTTCAACATTTATTCTTTCATTTTAGGCTATTACTTGTAATCTGTAACAATCATATAATGATGTGGATGGGACATTCCTCGAAATTGGAATGAGAATCTTGAAAAAATGCAGAATATTTTCTCTGATAATCAGTCTGTCAGTCCATCGCTATCCACCCGCAGATAGGAATAAATGTTAAAGGTCTGTAAAGGGTTAGGGATGACAGATTTGTGTCATCTGCGTGACTCTAAGGTGGTAAAATGAAGATGAGCATTAAAGAACCTGAGATGGAGGTGAACTCTTTGATTCAGTGACAATAACTGAAGAGTAGATTAAGCCGATGCCTTGACAGGAGACGATCAATAAATATGTTTAAAACTGTGAGATGAATGACATGGTTGAGCTTCCATAAAGGAGCAGGTAGGCTCATGGAGTGGGCGATTGTTGCTTGGGATGATGCTCCATTCTTACCCTCCTCCCATGGGGCAGGTGGGATGTCAACAAGGTCCAGCACCAGCTGACGAGCACATTAGCATCTCCTCCAGCGTGTCCGGCCCCCACTACCACTCAACGCCCAACCATCCAGCTTTTAGGCTTTGGGATCATGGGGATTGCCTTTTTAGGAGACACCTGACCACAGCTGAACTCATCGCCGCCCAACACAATGAAGCTGAGGCTGATAACGTGATGCCTTGTGTGCGCTTGCCCACCCTCGGTACTTAGAGTTTGTGTGTGAGAAACTAATGAGAAACTAGAAGAGAGCTCTGAGGATGTGAAGGTGGCAGAGCTTTTCTGTAGCAGAGACAGATGAAATGGAAATCTTACCAAACCGCCGAGAGCTGAAAAGGCTGTTCTTCGGGATGTTTTTGGGACGTGAGCTTTTGTTGTGTCTTTTAATCTGTTAATGAGAGTCTGCTGAGGTGGCAGAGAAGAGCTAAAAGGAGTCTTGATCCCAGAGTGACTGCCTCATTCAGGAGAACATCTAGATTAGCTAGTGATTGTGAGCATAGCTCAGCATCATGGAGAAATTCAAGGCAGCCATGGTTCTGGGTGCGGTTGGCGATGCCTTGGGTTACAGAAAGGGCCATTGGGAGAGCTGCACCTCAGGGAAGAAAATCCAAGAGGAACTGGCCTCTCTGGGCGGACTGGGAGCCCTGAAACTGGACCCAGATAACTGGCCACTGAGTGATGCAGTGCTGATGCACATGACCACAGCAGAAGCGCTTGTAACAGGTAAGTTTAGGACTGATGTCAAGAAGCGTGACAAAGAGGATGTAATTTTCATGATTACTAATTTGCAGACTTTCACATATCTTACCTTCATTGTATTTTAAAGTCTAACTAAAATCCAAAACTTCCTTTCTTTAGTTCTTCAGTAGTACATAGACGCAACCTAATATGTCCGTAAAGTACAGACCCAGCATCCGACTTGTTCAGCCAGGGTTTTAGTCATTCTACATTTAGAAGAACCAGAATAGCTTCTTCTGTGTAGTCAATGGAAGCTGCTAATCACTCACTGGCAAACCCGACCTAAAGGACAAAACCTGCTGACATACCATAATCCATCTCTGGAACAGCACGTCAAAGATAAAATCTAGGTGGAAGCCTTACTATGAATCCCCCTCACCCTAAAGCTCCCCCACTATGGTTCAAAGTTGCCAGGACAGAAGAGTCCAAAATAGACTACTTTGAAAAAGCTGATCCTCAGCTCTTCTTTCCTGAACAATAGCAGGTCAGACTCCTCCATAATCTGCCGCTATCATGTTTGGCTGCAGATGCGGTTCAAAGTCAATGACAGTGTTCCCAAGAAAAAATAGTGCTGGCATCATTTGAGATTAGGAAGCCCCATTTAGCCGCAATTCAGCATGCCTGCACATATACAACAATGTATGGAGTGAGATGCATGCTGTTAAAATTAGTGTTTGCCTTGTCAGTCATCTTAGCATAAAGGAAAGAAAAATGGAAAAGCAAATGCAAAAAATAATAATGCTGTATGTCAAATAGTCTCCTCTGTTAAAAGACATTTCTAGTAGCCTGATTATTAGTTTAAAAAAGTGGATTGAATATATTATACACTCTTAGGTGAAGCAATACATCTAAAGTCCTTCAATTAAACCAGAATGACAAGAATTACTATGTAGATGGACAACTCCAAATCTATCCTACTTCATCCTCTGAGTAAAAAAATCTGAACCACATTCCATTCAAAGGGTGAATGAAAGTCCTCGCCTTCAATGAAAGTCCTGGATCACTAACTTAACAGCCTCTTTGTCACCACAGGCTGTCTGTCACACATACAGTAGACATATAAACAAATTCTAGCACGATGCTGTGGGCTCTGCTCGAGGATCCCGGTTGACCTCACAGTGTGTGGAAGCGACTCCACTTGCTCCGCAGGCATGCTGGTCCTAATCTGTGGTGCGGCAGGCTGAGGCTAAACTTAGCCCATCACAGCACCACTCATCTTGCCTTGCATACCAGTCATGAATGACTCTCGACTACTGTGTGTGTGTGTGTGTGTCTGTCCAGATTACTGGTGTCTGGAGGACCTGTACCGGGAACTGGTACGTCTCTATGTCGAAGCCATGGTGTCTCTCCAAGGCAGAGCCCCTGATCCTGCCACAGTCGAGAGCTGCGTTCACCTCAAACCTCACAACTTCCTGCTCGCCTGGCACACACCCTTCAATGATAAAGGTCATTGGAGATTTTAGAAATATATATGGTTTCTATTTTCTGAGTTCCACATTAATACATGGCAAATGTGTACCTGACTGTGTTGTCCAGGGTCTGGGTTCGGAGCAGCTTCGAAGGCTATGTGTGTGGGGATGAGATACTGGCAACCTGAGAGACTAGAAAACCTGGTGGAGGTCAGCATTGAGATTGGCAGAATGACCCACAACCACCCTACAGGTGAAGCTGTTGGCAGTTTATAACGTCAAGAAATCTGGCCATGACAGGTTAATTATTGGGCTGCTAACTGGCTATTCAGAATTTATAGTTCCATTTTACCTGCAAGAACAATGATTTACTCAACTGGTGAGTCCGAGCTGTCAGTAGACCGAATTAGCAAAGTGATTTGTGGTGTCACTTTTGGCTTCAGGCTTCCTGGGCTCCCTGACAACAGCGCTGTTTGCGTCCTATGCGATCCAGGGGAAGCCTCTCGTGACTTGGGGCCGCGAGCTCATGAAGGTCATCCCTCGAGCTGAGGAATACTGCAAGAAAACCATACGACACATGGCAGGTTAGACTGCGATTCTGTCTGAGTGTGAGATGAACTTAATTTTACAACTTGGTTGGTCAATCCAAGTCAATTGAAGCTTCTATGTAAAAAAAACAACAACAAAAAAACCAACAACTCATGGACATTTATTTACATAACATTTGATATGTACACAAAGCATGACTTAGCTAATGCCACAAACAAGTGTGACTGTGCATCCTTATGCAGAGTATCAAGAAAGCTGGTTCTACTTTGAGGCCAAGTGGCAGTTTTACCTTGAAGAGCGAGAGATAGATAAGGAAGGACAGAACAAACCTTTATTCCCTGATCACTATGATGCTGAGGAGACAGACAAAGTAAGTCCCTTCGTCACATTTCTTTCAGATTTTCATGCAAACAGACTGCAGGCCCTAACAGGCACCATGTACGTCTGCTGCTCTGTTTCTTTGTCCATACAGACGTACAAGCGTTGGAGCTCAGAGGGCCGAGCAGGCAGGAGGGGTCATGATGCTCCTATGATAGCCTACGACGCTCTCCTGGCTGCAGGGAGCGACTGGGCTGAACTGTGCAAACGAGCCATGTTCCACGGAGGTAAGAAGCATAGCCTGTAGAATGCAAATTTCAACATACGAAATGCCCATTGTGACTTTGCAAAAACTAAATTTTAGGTGAGAGTGAAGCCACAGGCCTGATTGCAGCTTGTCTATATGGCCTCCTGCATGGCCTGAGCCAGGTTCCACCAGGCCTGTACCAGGATTTGGACAAAAGAGAACGCCTAGAAGAGCTGGGAGAGGCACTGTTCAAGGCAGCATCTGTGGAGAAATGCATAGACAAGTAATCCTGACCTTCACTGCCTTGAACTCCAATCAGCAAGAACTGCAAATGCCCCCAAAACCTTCGCTCTTCTGTCCCACACTACTCTTTGCTTTCTCAGTAGTATTAAGTGGCATCTCGCCCTTCCTCACCGCTCTTGCTCTGCTCTTAATTTTGCTATACAGAGATCTGTCATGAACTGTAAAGTTAAGATCACCTCTTATTATAGGTGTGAAACCAAGGAACAACAAAAGGAAGCCTGTTTAGGTTACTGAGTTGACACGAATGCTTTCTGTAAACTCATCCACTACACCTGTAATCACTTTATTTTACATTAATCCAATGTTTTGATAATGTCAGAGGACACAACACATATGACTCCACGTCACTCTGGCAGCGCCAATGACATGCTACTATTACATTTAAATGACAGAGCTGTGGGGAAAAGAAAAATGTTTGGCCTTTATAACGTTTAGTTAACAAAGAATAGTACATTTGTTAACAATCAATGCAATTTCTTTCTCTGACATTTCTTTTCTGAAGCTAACCTGTATTAACATGAAGCACTATGTTGTTTTACAGAGCATCTCATTTATTGAAATCTGCATACATTTTGTGCAAACACTGCCTACTGGGGTTTCGAAAAAAGCACAACTGAGTTTAAGGTTTTAATATTATCTTCAGAACCCCTAAGTTCCAACTTTTATCTCAGGTGCTGGACAAAATCACTACTTTTCAAACTAGAGTCATCCTATCTGTCTTTAGCTTATTTGTGCATGTGAGATGGTTGAAATAATGAAAAATGTTGATAATAATGATGAATGAAGAGTTAAACTTTTATGAATACAAATACTGAGTTATGTTTTCTTATACTGTGATGAATTATTAATTGCCCTGTGATGCTCTTATCCAATACACAGTAGTGTATTATACTGTCAAAGCACTACACAACATGGTTAATGTTAAAATGACAAGACAATTAAAATGGACTCAGATACATGTCATGTTTCAAGTGCCTCTTTATCTTAACTAAAACAAGTCTTTTGACGATTGATACCTAATTTTCTACCAGACTTCCTCTTCTTGCTACATAACCCTCTGCTACAATCCCCCTGGACTAATCACCTATAACAAGTTCACACTACTTCACGTCAATCTGAAGATTTTATCTCCTCCATTTAGTTACAGGGGTGTAATGAGTACTGGGATGTCTAGTTTAGGTAGAAGTATTGTGCACTGACTGGCTGAATAAATGTGTAAATGTAAATTGTGATGTCAAATAAGTACAAAAAAACCCCAACTTATTCTGGAGCTTTTTCCAGGAGTTAAAGTGAATATCATCACTTTGGAAGGTCAAATTTACTTCTTTCTAGAGACTAATTTTTCTCCAGGTCAGTGATGTTTTGGTTAAAAGAGATTTGAAACCAGCCCTAATGGAATATTTCCCTGTGCTCATGCTTTAACAGCTGCAAGCGCTATCCCAAAATTTCTCAACATGATGGTGCTAAGAGTGTCTAGAAAAGGAACATAGCTGTCGGGATTAAGTTTTACGTTGTCCTTTATTCTCTGTAGACCAGACTCTCGGAAAACCAGTATCAGCCCTGATGCCAGTATGTTGAAGAAGTTGGTTAGAGACCCCAAATGCCGTCCAGTGCTCCGCGGGATTCTTGAGACGCTTCTAAATTACCTAACACAGGATCTGCCCAAGTTGACCACCAACCTGGAAAAGCCACAGTCTGTTACAGTGGTGCAAAGAAACCCAAGAATCACAGCTTGTCCTGACCAGAGAAGTGAGACCTCAATGAAACAGACTGAACTTCAGGGAAACTGCAAAATGGTTCAGCTCCCTCTAGTGGAAAAAATGACCCAGGGAAGGACTATAAGTCCCATGATCAGTCGCTCTGAAAAGTGCCATTTGGATCCTCAAAAAAATAAGCTGCCAAGCAGGTGTGGAGGAGATGAAAGAGCTGGAGATTCAATACCGCGGCGTCTTACCACATTCCAGCTTCTTCAATCCAAATTCTTAAGGTCCACACCCAAACCCCCCATCACTCACCAAAGGGAGGTGGGAACTCTATCCTCGAGCAGAGGAGTGCCAGGTAATGTCAACCCCAAACAAGACAGTGAGCGTAACATGCACAAGAGCAGCCGAGCTAAAAGAGAACAAGGACTGAGGAGAGAAGGCAGTGTGAAGAATATGGTGGCCAAGTTTGCCATGGCTGAGCAGAAAGAACGGGGACTGAAAATGCCAACAAAACAGCCAGTCAAACCAAGACTCATTGGAAGAGGAGTCCTCTTATCTTCCTTAATGGAGAGGTTTGAGACAGTGGGCACTGTATGTAAGGGAAGTGATTTGAAATGTTCACATGAAAGACCTTCTGGAGGAGTCAAGGTGACAACTAACATAAAAGAGAGGGTAGCTCATCTCAAAAGGGAGCAGCAACAGGTGGGAGACCAAACTTTAAACAGAGAAAACCCACAGAAGCAACTGAAAAGTAATTCTCTTGGACAGAAGTCAAAAGAAGATCTCATCACAAATGGGCAAGAACCAGGACCAGATCAGGCAGCAGACATTTTAGCAAATTTAAACTCATACACAGGAGAAAAGAATCATTTGAAAGCCGAGCAAATGGAGGACCAGCCCTCAGATCAAACAGATCACTGCTCATTAAAACATTTGAAGGGTGAAGCTCATGATTTTGATGTCATGGGACGGGAGTCAGAGGAATTTGGTGAAATTAAGACTGACAGTCAGTGCATCACCAACAGGTTACAATTTGGATGTCTAGAGCTGCTCTGTTTAACTTCCGTCACTGAATGGTCAGTCCCAGAACCTTCTAGGCTTTATCCGCAGGTAGAAGTCCCTTTGAAGTTTCATGTGGCGACCATCATGACCTGCTCTCCTGTGTGGTCCACATGTCTAGATTCCTCCCCCAAACAATACCTGCAGGAAACCAAATCGGAATTATCAGAAAGCGCAAACCTAGACAAGACACCAAGAAAAATGAAAGACAGCGCTCGTTTCCCCTTGCAGTACTCTCACAGTGAGTCGGCTACAGATGAATCCTCCAATACAATAACTGAAGACACTGCAAAACCAGAGACTAATGGATTTCCTTTGAGCATATCTTGGGACCCCATGAAAAACAAAGACACCATAACTATGAACATTCAAAGAAGTTTGCCCAAGTACGTCATTCCACGTGTTTACAGACTTGAATATCAACAAGGTGATGAGAATACTTCCTCCACTCATCCACCACCACAACCAGAAACTATAACTCCTTTGGATGCAGTTCTGCCATTACAACCTGAGAGTTCTTTGATGGCTCTTAACACTGGGTTAACGATACTTGACAGTGACCCACTCCCTCCTCATGATATCAGCCTTCAAACAAAAATGCAAAAGAAATCAGCAGATGGTAAATCACAAGAAAAAGACAAGAATGAAAAAGAAGAAGTAAAACCAGTGGACAGAAAAGATACTGCTAAGCTGAATAGTTTTACATTTTCTGAAGAGACTGCCAATGAGGCTGCATTTGAAGACAGTGAGATCTGTGCTGTGATGATACCAAAGACTGAAGAAGAGAGAGACAACACTAAACAGAGACCAAAGTACAAAACAGTCAACTATGAGGATCCTTCAGTCAAGCAAACATATAAACCTAAAATCATACGATTTACTGACACCTTTACTTTCTAGACAGGTGCTAGAAAAGATGGACTTTTTTGTTTCAATTCTGTAGAGGGAAAATAAAATCCAGATTTAAATGTACCTTCATATCAGCAACAATACAACATAACCCCAATGCAACATGAATCCAATCAAGCCAGTACATACTAGAATAAATATTGCTCAGTAAAAATCTATTGCCAACACTCTCCTCATGTGTATTTATCACAATTGTCAATACAAAGATTATTTTTCAATTTAATAGGCTTGTATTAAAGGCCATTCTGTGTATTTTATAGACTCATAAAATTGTTCTACAGTATGGAGATAACAAAAAAAAACATAATTAATATTCTCCTTTGATATTTTGAAATAGCACTGATAACCTCCAAATGACCAACAGCCTTTAGACTGTCCGACCAGGAACATATTAAGGTTGCATTGTTGAATGTTACTGCTAATTTAATTACTGTCTGGTACAAAGTGCTGCACTAAAGTCTGTATACCAGAATGAAGGAATCCTCTTTTCTTTACTTGTAAGTTAGAAGACTGGTTTGACCTTAAACGACATTTGACTTGAAGGTGTGTTATGACTGATTTTAGTATAAATGTATATAAACTGTGCTAACTAAATTGCTGATTGTCCATACTGCTCAAGTTTGATCATATGCTGTATTATTTGGTATGCAAAACTCCTGTACTCCTACAATCCAAGATTCATTTTTCTTTCTCTAAGCAGTATTGTACTACATGGATGTGTCTTGTTATTTAAAAAAAAAACAAAAAAAAACAAACTTAATAAAAGTACAATAGCAAGCTCTTCATGCTGCCTAAATTATCATTTAATGCCACAATGAATTTAGGGGTAGTTACAAGGTGGTTCATACAAAGGCAAAAAGGTTCTATTCATAGTCTTTAATTTTTCATGTAAATGATGAAACACCGGTTGGATTAATTCAAATTTTTCCGTGTTGACTTAAAGATGAGTGTCCAGCTACAGAAAGTTAACTCTGCCAAACGCACATATACACACATAGAATTGAACTGTGTCTAAAAAGGACAAAGTGGTGCTTGTCTGAAGTAGATGAATGGTCACACAGTCCTGCCAAACATGTCAGTAGCTGGAAGTTCATCCAAGTCGCTGATCCAACAACCCCGCCCACTGGCAGGATTACACTACTGCAGAAACACGAGCATGCATTTGGACTTAGTCTGGTATTTTCACAAGAGGATAAGAGATCAAGGCCTATATGATCCATCATGTAGCCATCCTGAGGGTAATCCTTACAGGCACTGGCAATGAGGAGTATGGCGTCATTAGTGACTGTTTAGGGCAGAGAGATGCTGAAATCAAATTTAAAGTAATTTGATTTACTAGGGGTTAAATAGGACTCAAGTCTCAAACATGAGGGGAGAGCAGCTGGTTCGATCACCTTTGTGTGTTTGAATTTCACTGGAAATCTGCAGAAACAAACTTTCCCTCTTTAGACCATTGAAACACTGAATATATGAATGACTGCACATGCACTCAATATTTCAATGAAGAGAGAAACAAATGAGAGAAAGATTAGCGGAGTACTTGTGCCACCAGCTGCACAGGAATAACATGTACAGCTCTGTTAATAATAATCTGTACAGCGCTATTGGTGGTGGAGCACTGGAAAGGATGATGCTGCAGATTTGAAATGATGCAGAAGCAATCCTAGAACCAGGACCACATGTTCTGATGAGGAGTGGAAACTTGACGCCACCATCAGGCCACCAAAGATCCGCTAAAAATCCCAAAATGACACTTTAAATGGCCTCCACTCATGCAGGAAACTTCAAACTCAGCACTTCACTTCCTCGAGTGCCCCCCAGTAAACCCACCAAATTTGACGAAGATCAGATGACAGGCTGTTAAAATTTACAATTCACAGAAAGACACACAAACACCTTCATTGAGTAGTGAGACATATGTTAGTATATAACCGTCACAAAGAAATGAAAACAGAAACTAGTGCATGAGAATTGTGCAAAAAAGAGATTGAAATATTTTTTTATTAGCAAACCTTTTGCTGTTTTTAACATAATTATTATTTTGTTCAATCTTGTCAAACTCAAAATTTTGTGATAAAAAATATATGGGAAACATTCAATTTAATTTATTTTCCTTCTTTTCTTTTAAAATATATGTTAGCAAAACATAGTAACATGTATTTACATGACATGATAATAATGAAATGTGTTGATATAATAATATGTAATAATTTAATTAATCATTTATCATATGTTTCATTACATGTACATGTAATTAAAGACATCATTAATTACTGGGTTCAGGGGTTCAGAGAGGTAGAGGTTGAGGGAAAGAGGGTCGACTTTGTTTGGTCCCTCCAGATCTCCTAAAGAACTCAAAGAACCTCTTCCACCATGACTTCTTCTTAATTTTTACCTCCTCCACTTGGTGTATAAATTCTACTTTGTCTGTAAACTCTTGAGTTGTTTCCTGGTCCAGGTCCCCCTTTACCTTGGCAAGTGCTGCCTTCAGGTCTGATGTTTCCTGGAGATGCTTTTCCAGGAGTCAGGACCTTTCCTTCTCCCAGTGGCACTTTTACTTCTCAAATTGCTGCTGAATGTTGAGTTTTTAAGTTTCATCCACCTGTTTCACCAGTCAGGTATCAGCCTCCTTCTTGTTTCTTCTTTAAGAGATGCTCTCCCAGTTGTTGAATTGCTTGTGAAGCATCTCTATTTTTCAGCTGTTCTTTGCAAGAAATCCACGTACAGATCAGCCAACTGTCGCATGAATTCTGCTTTTTGGAGGTCCAGCAAATATTTTATGTGCATTATTATCATTAAGCAAGACAGCCTTGTCTTGCTCGAGTGCAGACACAGGAGTTCTACCTACTGCACACTGTGGCCTGGATGTCACTGCAGGCTATGGCTTGGTTGGTGCTTTGTGCTGTTCAACATAGCACAACATGATCCCCCCCGAAATAACTGTGGGTGCTTTTCTATGGAAATTACCTACATATCAAAACCTGATCAGGAAAACACACATACAGCCACAATACTACACCACACATTATACAACACCAGTATTTAAAATCAGTGCAGCAGGGTGAACAAACCCCCTCTACTTGCATTTTTTTCTCCTCAGTTCTTCAAATCATCACACAAGACCAATCTTCTGTAACAATTTCAGTGCAAAAGTTCAGTCTCTTTTGCCACAGTCCTGCCTGCAACAGTGTATTTGATGGCCACACTTGAACACACTGTCTCTGTGCTGCAGACTCCCTCATCCCCAGTACATCATCAAATTTGAATCTAGTGTATTATGATTTGTGCCATTTTGATACTTCCAGTAACAGGCAGGTTTTACACACTTACTTGTGCATGTATTTTGAGCAATGTCAATACTGATTTTAAAACAACAACAACAACAACAAAAACATTATAAGCTGAACAAAAAAACCAAATCTGTCCTGAGGAAGGGACAGAAAAGGCTTTTTTTCTCCCCCTCCCTTTTTTTCATAGTCCATCCGTTTATTTACACAACACATAATCCTTATTTGTTTACTTAGAGTTACCCCGTGCTGTATCCGCAAACCTCCATTGAATTTCAAAGGTAGCTCTAATTACCTGTGCTACGTGGCTCTGCTGAGGAGGGCGCGGCTGTTGCTATTGCTGCTGCATTTAAGTGTTACCGGACATACCAACACCGTGCAATGCAAATTTGCAAACAAGGGATTTTTCTGATGAGGGACTTGTCAGTATATTTTTTAAAAAGCTGTATGCTTGCTAACAGCTAGTGTTAATGTAATGTTTTACATGGCAAATAAAAGTTTTTTTTTTTCTTAAGTTGGTCTGTGCAAAACTATATTATTTACAGTATATGCTGATTCAGATTAGAAAAAGGTGTATTATTGGTAGTGGAGCAAGAATACTAGAGTTTACAAACTGACACTTTACAAAAATAAGTGTTTTCTTTAAAAGCAGGTACTAGTTCCAAGATGGGGGATGTTTAATGAGTTAAGCAAAGCCAAACCTGAGGTTTTTTTTGAAATCTTAGGCTAATGCACATCACTGCAGTCAAACTTTTTCTGTCTAAAGTTTCGTGAACGCACCGTAAAGTCACATTTAGTCATTCCATGAGAACTGAAGTGGGATGTTACGGGAATCACGCGAAGGCAGCATTAGGTCTTTGATTGAAGCTGTGTGTCCCGGAGAGAGCGTCTTCCACAGAGCAAGAAGACTGGAAGTAGCTGATTGACCAACCCTCTGGGACACACTGGGTGGCATTAATCTGGGTGTTACGTTTGGATTTTGTTTTCGGAGCAACGGGCTGGCTGGTGGTACTTCGAGGAAACCGGCAGCAGGTGCATGTGGATGGCGATAAAACTCAAGACAAACTCCGCTCTCTCCACACGGTTTGACCATCGGCGGATCCATAAAGTATTAAAATAATCGAGCCGAAACCATTGTTTTAGTTTGGAAAAGGAGAGTGAGAATGCTTTTCACGGCTTTCCCCTTTCGAGAATAGCGCGTTAATCCCAGGAAAGAGCAGCGTCCCGTCCCGTTCCTCCGCACGCAAACATGGAGAAGAAAGTGAGCGCTACGGCTAACTTACCTCAACTTTGGTTTTCGTACCAGTTGTAAACCCTCCTAGAGAAAAAAAAAACAGCACGGCGGACACATGGTGGGACTCTAACACAGATTTTTTCAGGATATCACTGAGCAGAAAAGGCAATGGAGAAGAAGAACAAGGCGACCGACCGGACCCGCTCCGCCTACGGCACAGCTAAAGACAGAGTGGACAGGTAACGCTGGCAAACGTAACGGTTAACTTGGCCGTGTAAAACATTTCGAAATCCACATTATGGATGCTGGAAGCTCACTGGAAGCAGAGTACTTAAAACTCGAAGAAAACCAAGAAGCACTTATTTATTTTACGTGTTATTGTGTTGAAAATAGATGCAGTAACGGTGGCAAACTAAGTGTTGATTTGCGTTACTGGAGCAGTTAGCTTACAACTAGCTAACGTTACCGGACAAAAGTCTCGTCTTGTCGAATTTTAACAAATCGCGATAACTGCTGTAGGTTTTATAGGTGATTATACTCTGAACAGTATTTTATAGGTCTGACAGAGTAATGTGTCCTCTTTTGCAATAGCATTCTGATGCAATTTTGTTCTTAAGAAACTAAACATAATTTCAAACTTAACTGACTTAACTTTTTCAAAAATAACTGCCTGATTTTCAATGCAAATAAATACAAATCAAGAACTCCTACTTACTCTGTTCTTCCTTGTTTCAAGACACACATGCATAACTATAGAACATTTAAATAAGAGAAAAGTTTAAAAAAAAAAAAAAGCAGGCAAAAAAAAATAACTTATAAATAACTCACAGACAGAAGTATTGATTAGGCTACTTGTAAGTTAAACAATCCATATAGAAAACAATCAGTTGATTTTACACATACCACTTCATGGAATACATGTGTCTACAAATAATGTAGTCTTGTAATAAGTCATGCCTTCAGGAACACTGTACTATTAAAATTTCATTCAAGCTGTTTTTGAGAGGTGTTGATATAACATTGTGGCCATTTGCAGGTTGAAATTTGTGATTTCTTTCATTTTTCCAGGTGCTTCTTATTTTCGTCCACCTAGTGAAGAATAAATGCTGGAAATTCCCCTGGTATAACTGAATAAAATGCAGGACACTACAAACTATAAACTTACAAAGCTGAATCAACACCTGTTTCATCAGTTTAATCTAAAATTGATATATTGTAACTTTCATGAAGGTAGGGTTTTCTTTTGTTTTTTTCAGTGAAACTACACTTGAAATAGTTTAAAAGTTTTTGAAAGTTTATCCATCTGTCTACATGCAGACTAAAGCATTCTGGCTCTTTTGTAGATGTGTGAAATCTATACATAACCCTAATAGAGGCCTAGTGTTTTTTAAAAGGGAAGGAGAGCTGTTGTATAGCTCCATCACACAGTGATAACACAAGCCATCACCTGAAATGAGGTGCCACATTAATAAACGCCACACTGATACGTTAAATGTATGCCCTTCCTTTTGTTTTGGCAACAAGGACACTCTTAAGAAACACAGCCTTTACATAATGCTGATTTTCACCCAGTGTTTGCAACGTGAGTGTGGTATGTGTGTGTAGTGTGCACTACAGTAAAGTGGTTTCATGCCGTAAAGTCGTTTGTGCCTGAATGAGTTCAAAACAGATGTAGTAGATTACTACGCTGCAAGTGTATTTTGTCTTCAGGGATGACTTTGCTCTTGTGACAGGGTTAAGCTGCAGGAGGATTATCGTGTTACCTAAGGCTTTAGATTGAGCCACTGCACTCACAACTTTTTCATCTAGGACTACATGGGCGATGCCGGCAGTGTGGATACACATTCTATATATAAAATATTACATACATAGAACTATTAGTCTTTCTTCTGTGCTGTAATGGCTTTATCTGCTCCCATTGGCTTGTCTTGCCTTAAACACATTATGACAGGAGGTAAACGCACATGAACACAACACTCGATGACAGATGATTTTGTTCGATTTAGTTGTTCATTTTGAGGTTTTCAGTGCTTTGATGTGTTGATACACTGATTGAAAACAATCCTTTGACATGTTTCTTGAGCGTAGTTTGTAACGTTGTGCTTTTTTTTGCCCAGTGTGGATCCATATGGCTTTGAGCGCTCGGCGGACTTTGATTATGAGTCATATGAAGAGCTCATGTCTGAGTATCTAGTTGTGCTCACTCGACGAGCCATCAAGTGGTCCAAACTACTGAAGGGTAAAAGCAAGGTGCAGAAGAATGTAAAATGTGAGTATGAAAACTGAACACAGCAGTATCCTCACAGAGTGTGTGCATGCACCAAAACTGACGTAAACATTCCCCGTCTCCTTTAGTGAAGCGCTACGTACGCAAAGGGATTCCCAATGAGCATCGGGCTCTGATTTGGATGGCAGCCAGCGGTGCTCAAGACCAGCTAGAGAAGAACCCAGGACACTACCAGTCCCTGCTAGGAGCCCGACACGACCCTAAACTTGTGGAGACCATCAACACAGGTCAGGCTATCAAACAGTTCCTGGTTCACCCATATGCTCAGTCAGATGACCTTAAAGCTGCGGACACACCAAAACTAACCATAGGCAAAGAGATATGGTGCATTGCTTTATGCATTCTGTCAAAAGCTGGACTTGAACCTCCATGCAAACCTGGATGACCAGAAATCATAAACACTAATGGATAGAAAAATCATATTTATGTCACTGTTTTTTCATCAATTCAAAATATATCTGGTTAAAATATTGGCATTGACTCTGTTCAGTTTCGTTTTGCTCTGTCATTGTCGTCACATGCTGTTTTTCATGTAAAACAATAAAGACAGAAATAAAATTAAAAATAATAATAATGAGAAAGTGCCCTAAATGAGTAAATAAACTGATAACTATGTAGAGACACCCAGTAACACAAGTAATACTTTGGGTCCTTCTAAATACGTCTCTACAAGGTTTGCACATCTGGATTTTAGAAGTTTATCCCATTCTCCTTGCATCCTCTCAAACTCTATAGTCTCAAAAGACAAATATCCAAAGTCATGTTGAGATATAATTTAACATGAGACTTACCCACTGCGAGTTTGCATGTTTCCCCCCGTGCAGCGTGGGTTCTCTCCAGGTTCTCCAGCTTCCTCCCACACAGTCCAAAAACATGTTGAGGTTAATTGGTGATTCTAAATTGTCTGTAGGTGTGAATGTGAGTGTGCTTGGTTGTCTGTCTCTAAGTGTATCCCTGTGATAGACTGGCAACCTGTCCAGGGTGTCCCCTGCCTTCACCCTAAGTCGGCTGGGATAGACTCCAGCCTCCCCGCGACCCTAGTGAGGATTAAGTGGTGTATAGATAATGGATGGATGGATGGCCTTACCCATCACTGTAAAAATACTCTTTTTTTTTTTTTTTCCTGCTGCTTCAATTGTACTTACCCATGTACTATATGTATACAAAGCGCAATGAATGATTAGTGTCTGTGTGGCTGTTTTCTTTCAGACTTGAACAGAACATTTCCAGACAATGTCCAGTTCCGTAAGACATCCAACCCATGTCTGCAGAAAGCTTTGTACAATGTGCTGCTGGCTTATGGCCACCACAATCCAGCTGTGGGCTACTGTCAGGTAACTGAAACCTTCAGTGTATTTGTGGAAAATGAATGCAGTAATTACGTTTAATTGCTGATTATTATTTTGCATTGCTTTATTATTTTGGGTTGTGTTGTGTGATTGAAATGCCAAGCAAAGAGTGTGGTCCATTATTGTAGAGGATTACATGACAAAATAAATAGTATTTGTAGGTGCAGACTGCAAGCTAATGGAAGCATATGCAAAAACTTGGTTGGGTAAAACTTACCTAATTGTCCATAGAAAGGAATACACAAGGAGTGTTTATATGCTGATTTTACAGTATTATTAATCCTCACCCACTACTTGCTTACGTGTTCAGAGAAAGGCTGTTTGTGTCTCTAACAACTCAGTATAGCTTTTGTGAGGCAAATTTCATTCACCAGACCATCTGCGGCTTCATTTGCAATTCAAACAGGGCTACACTGATGGTTGTTTCTCTTCCCAAGTATTAATAGAATCCATTAATCTCTAATCAAAGTCAGGTAGCCTGTTTGGGTTTGGATGTGTTTTGGTTTCCTTCAGTTGTTCTCAGTGTACACTTTCTGTCCTCCGCCTTGGATGTTTTATTAAAGAGCTGATAAAAACAAAAAAAGTGTAACCTGAATGTGTGTCTCTTTGTTCTCAGGGGATGAACTTCATAGCTGGGTTTCTACTCATCATAACAAAAGATGAAGAGAAATCCTTCTGGCTGATGGATGCACTACTTGGTAGAATTTTACCAGGTTTGTGTGTGTGTGTGTGTGTGTACAATCACTTGCCATTGTTATGATTTTGAGACAGCTATGTGTAGAGGATAAGAGTAGTCCCGTTAGGATCACATGTTATTTATCTTTCTGTGGCTGAACACCTACAATATGTTTCCATTCTTATCTTGCACTCACTCAATCGAAGGAATGTTAATATAAATAAATAAAAACCTGGCAGCAGCAGTTATGACTGAAGTCATATTGAGGAGTTTTGTTTGAGTCTTCACATCACCTTTTTCTGTCAAGCTAACAGTTTTATATTTACATTGTTTGTCCAACTGTCCTGATAAAGAAATTGATTTATTTATATCTGTTTGCAGTTAAATAAGAACCGTGTATGAATCAGGATGTGTGTTTATGTGGTTACAGACTACTACAGTCCAGCCATGCTCGGGTTGAAGACAGACCAGGAGGTGTTAGGGGAGCTGGTGAAAGTTAAAACCCCCCAAGTCTGGCAGGTCATGGTGGATCAGAACGTCATGTGGACCCTAGTGGTCTCCCGGTGGTTCATCTGTCTCTATATAGACGTTTTGCCAGTAGAGGTGAGTTCATTTGTGTTCAGTGTTTTATTGTGCAGCCAGGTGGGAAGTCCATACTGTAGCCTCACTGGTGACAAGTAGGGGTCCTCCATGATATGCATTTGCAGTAAAAATGACAATGTTGATCTCAAAATTTAGAATAACACCAACTCCCATATAAAGCGCTGTATGCCTTTTTTGTTTGTTTTACAATACGTTCAATTTAAACAGAGCTTTTCACCCTTTATCCTTAAGTGTCCAATTAGATGGAGCAGGAATCAGTTTAAACAAAATAACAATACAGATAATTGGGGGAAAATGCTGTGTATTGGACCCGATTATTGCCAAGGCTTATAAAATCAGTTAAATCCTTGTGTCAAGATTTCACTCCAATTTATTTATTCTTTCTAGCATCGTAAAGGATTTTTGAAATTTAAAACTTTTAGAAATTTTGACAACACTGTGTGACAATAAACAACTGTCATCACAAAACTTTGTTTTGTTGCTAAAATGTGGTTTTATCACTCAAAAAATCTAAGAACACACCATTCAATGGACTACACAAACACCATTTACTAGGTATGTGTGCTTTATCCCAGTACTGCTTTTAGTGAATTCAGATAAAATTAACACCATTTTGTTTTGTTCTTTCTTTTCTTTAAAACTCCTACACTAACCCACCACACAGAATAGTCCTTGTTGCAATCTCCCTCTTTTGGCCTTGGGAGGGTGTGTGCTGCTATGTTTGTTCACCAAATACACAAAGACCCTCTCTAGGAGTTCCTAACAGTTGCAGATGTTCATGCTGTTCTCTGGAGTTTTAATCTGCACACACAAACACTGTGGCCATGTAGTCAGAGTTGCTACTCCTCACTGGTTTCCCACCAGGGCTGATGTAGTCAAAAAAATTACTGGTAATACAATTCCATACTCCTTTCTCCCTACTGTTTTGCTGAAATTTACAATGCAAAAAAAAAAAAAAAAAAGGTTGAATTAGAAATACAGTAGTTTGCCTTCCCTCACAGCTTTGTGCACTGCAGCTGAGTTGCTGTTGCCTCCAGTTTAGATGGAGGTTAAACATCACACTGTGCATCACTGCATATGTGATGCAGTGATGCACAGTATCACTGCATATGTGTTTGATGGTATGTTGTGGATTTATTTCTTTGTTGCCGTTTTTCTGCAGACAGTTCTGCGAATTTGGGATTGCCTGTTCTACGAGGGTTCGAAAATCCTGTTCCGTGTAGCTTTGACACTGATCCATCACAACCAGGCTTTAATTCAACAGGCCCAGTCCCTGCCAGACGTCTGCCAAAGCTTCAAACAGATCACCCATGGACCATTTGTTGATGAGTGCCACACTTTTATGCAGGTGAAAGAAAAAAAAAAAGGGGGGGAAGGTATCCTCATCACTGCTTATTAAAAGTCATTTTGCTGGAGCAAAGATCAGTCAGTATAAGAAAATCATCCTTTGTAAATTGCTGTCTTTAATCCTATAATCCTGGTGTTTCTTGTCGTTCCTAGAAAATCTTCACTGAACCAGGAAGCCTCTCCATGGCAACCTTGACTAAGCTGCGGGCAACATGTCAAGCTCGAATCATTGCAGAAGAATCCTGACCTCAAGTCGGCTACCTGTTGCTCTAGCTGAAAACACATTCCAGTGGGATGAGCACCCAGCACCTTTATAATCTGAGTCACAGTGACTACTACTTTTTGTCTTGCATGTCATGAGACAATCATAAAGCCCAGGTGTAAATATATGATCATACGAGGATATTCTTAGCAATGTGTTATATGAGCCAATGATTCCATTTGAAACTAACATGTAGATGTCTTAAATTGTTCTATTTTCTTCTGTTAAAATGCAGAACTATGCACTTTAGTCCAGAAAGTCAGAGACACTAAAAAGAAATGGCTTTGCCAGGTCAGAAACATTATATGTTGCATACTGTAGGCACAGCTGGTCTGCTGTACTTCAAAATGTGGTCTCAGTCATGAACATTATAAAGACTAGTAGTTCTTCTGGGTAAATGGTTAGTTGACTGACAATATTTAATGCTGGTACAACATGCTGTGGTAATCCAATGTGAATTTTAATTTTTAAGTGTCTGACACCTTTAGTTATGAGTTATGTTGAGGTTATTGCACCTGTTTGCAAATAATTCAAATGCACTATGATGAAGCAATACAAGCACGACTGAAAGGGCTGCTCATTTTCCTAACAATGGTGTGTGTCCAGTTTGTTCTGTGTGGGTCTGTGGCTCTTTACACTGTCACTATCATAGTACCAATATCAGGTGTGGTGGTAATGGACAAAAATATCCTTGGCATCAATCCCAGTTCTGAGTATTTTGTGTAATGTACACTTGGTTGAACAACTCTGACTGAACAGCCACGTTTATTTAACATAGAAATGAATCATCAATGTAACTGCTGTATAAAATACTAAAAAAGAAGCCAAAGCTGGACTTAATGATTTTTATTAACTTGAAGTAAGATGCATAATAGAAAATGAGATTAAACCATTTTCTATAAAAATAAAAGATCAAATAACTATAATTTATGTAACATTTCTGTTGGGAGAGGGTGCTGAAAAGCAAAAATAGAAGATCAACCCATGTACCTATTAAGTCGTCCAATGTAAATTTGCACACTGTATGGCCTCATTACTGCACACTGTTTAAACAAGCATCCCATTTTTGTACTCACAATTAAAAAACTTTGTTTGGTTCAATTAAACTGCAGTGCACTGATGGGACAGGCTTCAATCCATCTGCAGGAACATGATTGGAAAAGACGCACATTCAGAGCTTTCCCTTTTTCTAGAGATGGTGGGATCATCGAATGCTCATGAAGTTTAAAAAAAAAAAAGTACTAGTAAGCATGTGTAGGCACAGTAATCCTATTCCAACTTAAAATATTGCCAATTGTCAAACAAATGGGACTTTTTCTTACAGTTCATTTGTCACTTTCTACCTCCTGTATGATTCTTCATAAATAATTACGCAGCTAAAACAACAAAAAGCAGTTCAAGCAAATCCAATTCCTAGAACATAATGAAATAAGAGTAGAGGCAAACTTTTAACAGTGAACTTGCAACAGCAAATTCAAAACTCCATCTTTGATGTGTGAAGTCTCAGTCCTCTCAGGCTTTCACTAATATCTAAAGTTAGCAGGTATTCTGCCTCTCATTATCGTCCACAGAGCATGACAGGGAAAATAAAACATCCAGTGGTCACATAGGATTTTGCAAACACATGCACTCACCACAGAGGAACAACTGTTTCCATTCACTCATGCTCATGTCCGAACAGTCTATTTTTTGCTCATTCACACGCTGGGGTTCATCTCTCCACTATTCAGCCAGGTTTAAGTTAAGGGAAGGGTCCATTCAGATGGTCTGGTATCCAGCATGGCTCCTCTTCCTGCCTATTAGGTAAGCAATGAGGACAATGAGCACCAAACCAGCAAGAGCTGCTCCAACTATGATGGGGATCAGCATCTGGTCTTGGTCCATCTGACACTCCTCCGCTGGACATAAAAAGAGACAGACAGAGGAGACGATTAAGTTATGTAAACAGAATTTATTTGCAGCAAGTATATCTTTAAAAATGTCAAACGATTCCTTTAAATCTGTACACTTCTCCAGTCACCACGATAACAGCTTTCAGCCTCAGATTACTTAAAGTATATGAAAACTTGCAATAAAACATAAAAGAGTAGAAAAAACTGGTCATACCTGTAGCAAACTGGTCTGTTGAGATGCCAAACGGCTGGACATGCAATCTGAATGTGTTGAGCGAGAAGGTTGGTTCCACAACCAGGGTTTGCTCTGCGTTGCACATATAAGAGTGGCCCAACGTACTCTGCAGGTAGTTGAGATTGGTGTTGTTGACTGAGAGGGGAGCTGGGGAGAGAAAAAGATCAGAATTTCTTCAATTTCAGAATCAGATCTGAGAAATAAAAGCACATTGCTTGTTGACAGATGACATACCAGTCATATCAGACCAATTAGCGAGCAGAGTTATCCCACTCAGGTGGTACCTGTTGGATGTGGAGTTCTGTGGATGTGAGGAAGAGTTGGATTTATGTTTGTATGCACGCACACACACACACAAACCAATTACACTACGTGGCTAAATTCACAAAGAATGAGCATAATTTACCAAAGTGAAGGTGAAGTTAAGTGTAGTGATTCGTTCTTGTGTCAAAACCAAGGTAGTGCTGCTGGCTCCACATGATCCCGATGAACTTGTCAGATTAGGAGTCAGATTCAATAATTCTTGGACAGTCTGGCAAAACACAACATATCGGGTTTGTTTCAAATTTAGTTTAAACTAACAACTGATTTAAAATGTGTTGTCTGTGAGTAGTTCCTGCATATCACCTTATTCTGAGACTGAGACAAGTACGAGACGTTAAGCTGCAGTCCCATTTGGGCCAGGAGACAAATGGTGCCATTGGTGTTTTTTAAAGAGTAGGTGCCCCGTTCAGGAGTTCCTGGAGGGGTTGGTGCTGGAGCTGCTGTTGTTGTTGTACTGGCAGTAGTAGGTGGAGCGGCTGTGCTGGTTTCATCTGCCACACATATGCTTTCTGTAAGAAGGAAATGATTAAGAAACTTTAAAGAAGCAGGTCAAAAATCTGCTGAAACCTGCTCACTCAGGAACAAAAACAGTCGTTGTTTTACCTGTTGGACTCAGGTCATTTCCTGGCATGTATGCCTCAAGTCTCATATCAGAGAAAGTGACAGATGCTCCACCGACTCCAATAGTGACTGGACTCAGACACCGGTAGGTGGTGTTGATTGCTGCCGAGATCCCAACTGAAGCAGACACCACTGTGACCACATCTAGGATACAATCAAGCAAACAGCAAATGGTTGTAAAACTGCAACTTACAGTGGTCCCTGTGGAAAACAAGCCTGTTTGTGTTCGTGTCTAATTAAATACATTTCTGGGGGAAAAAAATGGTATTCTGAGATTCAACATACATCCTTATCTGTAAACATAACAAATGCACACGTTGTCCTAGGATCAAATTTTGATTGTTGGTCGTGACTAGAAATATCTGCATGGAGCTGTTTCTTAAAATTCAACCAGCCTATTTAGTTTTTTTTAGAACATGTATTTTGAACACTTGTTTCAAAAGGGAATCTTCAGTTTTTCTGTAAGCTCTTTAATGTCTTTAAACCGAAAACAATATCTCACAATACCAAAAAAAGGCTAAACGTTTATTTTCACCTCCTTCTGTACTGTAATATAACATGAATAATCTATTTTGCTATACTTGCAGCAACCTGACCATACACTGTCGATATCAAATTTTATTATTATGATGAAATATATTCCATTTTCTCTATTAAACTTGATGTATTTCTACATGATGTGAATGTTATTGTACAAGCACCACATACATTCAACCACATCTGAATCAGGGAAGTGTGTTGTTGTATTTGTTCTCACCGGAGCTGTTGGCCCCAGGGAAGACTGATGTGTCGCTCAGGTTGTACTGCAGTGTCAGGTTAGCGACATCATACCGACTTCCATTGGTGGAAAAGCTCAGCCCCAGTGTGTGGCCGGATCCGAACACCCCCACCAGCCAGGGGAAGCCGCCTGCGCCACACGAGCTGCTCCCTGCATCGACCGTGGTGGAGTTGGGCAGAAGGACCTGCACTGTTCTCTGAGGAAAACACGAGCGATTCACAAAGAGATACAACACTGGAGGGACAATGACACTGAAATGAAATATATCAATGTTAATGATCAGAAATGGACACCAGAATATTGTTAATGTACGTACTGTGCTGCTGGAGGTGTTGTATGTGATGGAGAAGGATGCAGACAGCTCAGCCTTAATGCAGGTGGAGTTCCCCTCCCTCACCTCCAGAGTAACAGCCTGAACGCAACCTGCAGACAAGGACGTGATGGACATGGAGGCACAATGCTTAAACAATGTGGAGAAACATTCCAACAAACACAAACTTACTTTATGGAAACTATCCTGGAAAAACCTTTAATTTTCATTCATTTCAATTATATTTGGAGTACGACGTCATTTACAATATAGCCAAGTTAAAAAATGAAAGATTTAGGCAAACAAAAAAGAAATGTAGACAAAAGTACAATAAAATCATTTGAGTAAAATAATAAAACCAATAGGAATAATCAGAACAATTAAAAATACAAATGATTCAACTGAAACAAGAACTGCTGGAGGTAAAATAAGACATTTTCAGCTTTTTCTCCCATATTCTAGACACAAATGTTAAACTGTTTGGCATAATTTACAATACTAAAGCCATCCAACAATTAATAGCAGTAAGTACTGATATGCTGCTCAGCAAGGATTAATAATGCACAATGTGACCTGATGATGAGTAAGTTTGCTTGTGGGTACATGGTGATGACGTGTGCAACTCGCTGTGCTAACATAAAAATGCACACCTGTGTTCAGTAAATATTCATTATCTTGGTTTACTGGTTGTACCTGACGTGCTTGATTAGATAAAGGTTAGAAATTACGGTTACAACACAGCCCCTGTTACATGACGCCATGTCCTACATACACAATAAAGCAGATCATGCAAGTCACCACCAGAGGTCTACAGAGAGCTTAAAGGCAGGGAGCCACACCACAAACCCCAACTGAGTCGGTTTTTTTTTGTAGATTTAAAGCGCTTAACAGAGCTGTTGCTCCAGTCTAGACTTGCAGCAGGTGTAACTGAACATGTCCTGAGTGAAGGAGTCAGGAGCAATATTTGCCATACTCAGCCAACTTGGCAACTTCCACACTTGCATTGTAGGCTATTAATACCTTTATCCTCTGTAAACTGCCCACTCACTGTCGCATGTCTATGTGTAGGTGACAGTAGCTTTAATTCTCAAACACACTGTTTAGAAGCTACGGCAGCTATTCAGGACTCATGTACTTATCAACCCGACAACTCATATCCCCAGTAAACCTTTCACACCCTGTAACGCAATACAGGAGTTTCAACACTTTCTTCACACTTCCCAGAATGTCAACAAAGAAGCTGACATAGTTTAGCTCAAACGTGGCTCTTTAGTGAAGTCTATACATTTAAATTGGGTTTTATTTTTGGAATTCTGTCTAGTCATAAATGATTTCACTCTGCTGAAACAACAAAATTCTAAAGTGTTAATCTAAGCATTCTGTCCACAGCTTGCAGGTTTTTAAAAAGTCACTCACCACTATCAAAAACATGCTGCGAAGAGGATGTCTGAAATAGAAAAGATGCTCTACATAGTGGCTGGTTGCCTGCTTACAATGCTGAGAAAACAGATGTATTTAGCGTAGGCCTGTGGGTTTAATTAGTTCCCCACCATGTTACTGGTGATTTAATAAATCACTTATTACACAGACGACTGACTGCGGTGTTCCCTTTTTCATATTCATCTCACTTCACTCCCCACTCTTTACCCAATATATACAGCTTATTGGTCGTAATGGAAACAGCACCGGAAACAGCACCAAACTTCAGTCTTGTCACTCATTCACACACTCCTTCCCCTGTGGTCTTGCTGAAAATTCAACCCAACATCCCCCCTCTGTTCACCCTGTAAACACACAGCAGATGGTTTACACAATACTGAAATCTGGTCATGAGGTGAAAGCGCTTCTGTGTACAAAGTACTAGATTGCAGATAGCAGCATGTCACAGTCGGTGTGGAGAGAATATCAAACAGAAAAGTATCCCACACCGTCTCTTGTGTTGCGAGGAACTGCTGGTGCCAGCAGGTCAGAGCTCTGAGGTCACAAAAAATGTTGCAGGATAGCACTTTCTTAAAAAAAGAATATGTCTGTGTCGATTGTGAGTCATCCACGTCAGGATAATCCTGAGTTACTTCTCTTTTATGGTTGAAGACACAAAAAAAGAGAAGCTTTGTTGCTTTACTAACCTAAAACCTGCAGTAAATAATTCTGTATTTTAGAATGAGCATTAAGTGGTTCAAAATGCACTGTAATTACTCGTGCTACAGTTGTATTGACCTGTTTTACTCTGTCAGCAGCCAGGTCCCTGTGTGCGTTCAGGGTGATTAAACTGGTCATAAACTAACTGTCAGTAGGCCCCTGCAGGGCTGTGTGCAACACAAAGCCATCATGGCACTCATGGTAAGCTTTCAAATGACACAACAATGGGACCAATCTGCTAGTCCACAACATTAACAAAACCTGGGGCATTACATCAGAATAGAGTAGAATAAAACAAGATTAAAGTCCAAAGAATTTTCGAGTAACACTGGTGTCAATTTTTAAAGGGAGTTCCATGTGAAACAGCACTGATGCACTTTTAAGGTTCCTTTTTATGATAATAATCACTTCTACATCATACTAGTTAATTCAAAATGGACAAACCCCTCGCCTACTCTACATAATGCAACTACATAAACAGCTTCTGGGTTAATAAATTCATTGATTTAGAGCTGGAACAGCTGCTCGTCTGTTGGTCAGACAAACCTCGACATTTTAATATGATAGCTTGGGCTGTGGTAAATGTTGTCAGGCATTTATGGCCATTTTATGGAAAAGTGGCTTAACTGAGTACTAAAGTTTAAAAAAAAAAAAAAAAAAAGGTATATTAATTGACAACAAAAATAATTGTTTGATGTAGCCTCAAATCTGTTCATATAACGTCCAAACATGTGCGAGGCTACATCTTCAAATAACCTTTTTTTGTTGTGTGTTTGTTCACACCAAAAGATATGGAACTTTACAGCTTTATTTCTGACTTTATTATTACTTTTATTATTACTCTACAGCTTTATTCAATCACCTCTGCTACATTAATGTCCTTAAAGGCCCCAATGCAAACATATGTTCTCAGTCTGCTTGTGATCCATATTGAACATTATTAACCCAGAAAGCACTCTGAACCTGAAATAGATTGATTTATGAGTAGCAATAAATGGATTAGAAATAGTTCTGATACGTAACTTGCTCCTTTTTAAGTGTACTTTTATGTACATTATGTACTATTATGTATTGTGTACAGTACTTTGGTCAACTGTAGTTGTTTTTAAAGTGCTTTACAGATAAAGTTGGATTGGATTAACTAAACTTTTACCTCATTTTTTAAAAAAAAGAATCACTGGTACCATCTGCTCAAATTGAGTATTTACTAGTTCAAGGAGTTTTCTGTGATGGTAGATTCAACATTTTGGGGTCTTGGCTGCTGATCAGATAAAAGAAGACATAATATGCTACGCCACAAATAAATTGATTTGTCAGTCAGTTGGCTGCCAAAAAATAAACTGGAAACAGTTTTGATAACCACATATTTACATTATTTTTGAAGCAAAACTAATCCTGTAAAAGATCGCTGGTACCAATTGCTCAGTTCGAATATGTCCTAGCTTAAGCTAGTTTTTCTGGTGATGACAGACTAAACATTTTGGGGTTTTGGCACGGGATCAACCAAGACACAATAATAGTTCACCTGGGTTTCAGGGGGATAAAAAGACAAAATACAGATGTCTTAACAATGAATGAAATAATTCGTGGTTGCATTGAAGTACATCTACAACGAATGTGGACTTGTTTGAGGTTTAGGAGATCAATGAACTGACACTAAAATAATTCATGTGTTAAGGTTAGATCACAGAATGAAGAAGTCACCATGGCTGGTGGTGCCAACTTAAAATTTGAGACCACATTTTAATTAATCAATTTTTAAAAATTAAAACTAAATTTAAAGAGGGGTAAATCTGAGGCTTTGGGGGGGGGGGGGGTCCACTGAGGTCTTTTGGTAGTGGCTGTCGATCGACTGTATGATTATTTGATCGTTTGTTTCAGCTAAATGAGGAAGCGGCTAATCGATCACAACTAGCATCACAACCGACCAACGGCAGGTTTCGTGACGTCGTTCGGTCCAAAGATAACGGCGGCGGCGGCGGCGGCGACGGGCAGTTTTAAAGCGCAAAAACACTCACCTAAACCCGCGAACCAGGCGATGCTGAGCGCCGCCAAAGCTCGGCAGACTTTCATCCTTGAAGTCAAATCACAGCCGCAGGTATTTCAAACGTCGTTCCCTCCTGTGGAAGGCAGAATAAAGCCCGGAGCGGTGGTGCTGTGTCGCCGCTGCGGGCGCAGGTGGGTCTTCAAACTGCACTTGACTTCACTGACCGGTAGCTCGAACCGTAGCGTCGCTTGCTGTTGCTCTTCCTGTTGTTGTCTCTCCGCTGGCTGAAGACAGATGACAGCGTTAAATTAGTATCCGTCCTTGCCGACAGAAAGGAGCAGTAAACGCGATTAGAAGTCGGTCACAGCCACAGTGTCTGAATAAACCATCTCTCGTCATGTGAACTGGTAGCATTTAGCTAGCCAGTCACGTGAGCCCGCCCCTCCTCCTCTTTCTTCTGTGAACTGAGCTCGCGAGGGGTTTCAGCTCTCCTCTTTAATAATAATAATAATAATAATAGTAATGTTTGTTTGTTTTTAATGGCACAAATATGCACTGTTGCACAATCTGTCTTCGTGGGGGGAAAAAAGATGTTTGTAAGTAAATATGACTTGCAACAGACAACTTAATGATGAAGGGTTGGTGATACTAGCAGGGTGTAAAGAGACACCCAATGAGAAAAATAGTGCGCTTCCAGGAATTATAATACAACGAAAATGACTTCTCACACGCGTGTCATAGACAAGGCTGATTAATTGACCTGTAATGAACTGGGACAAAGAACACAAGTGCTGGTGTATGCTGGCTTCAATTCCCTGTACCTTTTTCTTTCTTTTTTTTTTCTTGCTACATTCCTGAAATGGCCCTTAAAATACATGGCACGTAAAAGATCAGTGATATGGAATGCAAAGTGTGTGATCTGTAGCATTTAGTTTGCAATATGGGGGAGGTAGCATGTGAGAGCCCACACACACACTCACACACACACACATTGTGCTGTGCTGGCTGCAAAGTGCATGTGTTTGTGGGTAGTCAGCTGACACCTTCATCAATTCACAAGGGAGTGCAAAACCCTACTAGGAATCCAGAGGCTGCTTTAATGCTGCTGTCCAAGTCTTATCAGGACCCTGCTACATTCTCACTGCATAGTTTGACCATGCTTTTCCACCAGTGGAAGTCTAAAAAGGAGAATACTGTGTTAGATCTGTTATTTGATCATACACAAGCTGTACTTTCCCTGCCGTTATAGTGAAAGCAGTAACACATACCCTTTCATTTTCACTTCCAAATTTCAGTAATTTGAGATTTGAAAATGCTCAATGGCTTGTTTACCATTTATCAAAAATAGCTTAAATCAAACTTCAAAATCAAATGTATAGAAAGAGAACAGGCACTAAAAACAAGGGTTGTGATGCGTAACACACTTAACTGGACACCACACAGCTGCATATCAGGCAGACGTCCTCGTTACTTACCCAAACCGCCCCCCAGTTAAAATTATTAACTTGTTGTGCCTGACAATTTATTTGATAAAATCAGGTTAGACCGCAGGATTTGTCAGTATGAAAAACTATGTAGCAAGCTCAGGCTGAGAGACAAATCCTTCACACTGTGGACAAAATGACAGGAGGAGGATGTTCGAGCAATAAAAAATGACTACCACTAGCTGCTTATCTACAAATCATCAATTGAATCATTAAATATCCATTTATTCAGATTCACTTTTCGCACTCTTACATAGAATACAGTCTGATCTACAAAAACGTCAGCACATGACATTGGACATTTGGACATTTTGGTCAAAACATACAAGATACCAAAAGTAATACCCGAGTGACTTGCCTACATGTCATTTAGCGTCTGTGTTGCAAACAATGAACCCAGCCCCTTCGGCCCACTTCCTCCTTTCTCAAGCCTCTTCTCTCTCTCTCTCTGTTCTTGTCCTTAACAGCTGTTTCTCTGCCAAATCAAGAAACCGACCAATCAGGTTTACACTCAAGAGATTTATGCAGCCATTCATAAGAAGAACGCTTTGAAAAGAAAGAAAGAAAAAAAAAGCACAAAAAAATCTTAAAACTCAAGACAAACCAACTATAGTAGAAAATAAGTGATTTTAGAATGACATAATGGAGGAAAAAAAACCAATCCCAAGGAGGAAAAAAACATAAACAGAGGAAAGTGCTTGTTATTTTCAGTTGTGTTTTGCATTAGCAGATTTGTAAGTCACATAAACCAACCATCAACAACCCGGGCCACATCTCCAGCCCAATCTCAAGAGTCCCACTAAAGATATCGCAGAATGGGAACAGCACAGCCAAGTCTCTCTCGTCGCTCTGGAGCTCTGTGTCTTCTGGACGTTGCGCCCAGGATTGTGGATGGAGGGAAAGATGGGCACCAGAGGAGAATCGGGTGGCTGTAATCTTGTTTTGGGAGGCCAGCTGTACGCTTGCTGTGATTATAGCACGGCGGTGACAGCGGTACCCCCTCAGGCAACATAGTGGTACTGGTTAGGAGTCTCCTTGTCACGTTCCATGTAGTCTCTGTCTATGAGTGACTCAATCCGCTTCTTCAGATCACCCGGCTGTGGAGAGGAAAGTGAGTCAAATACTGATGAGTTTTGAGTGTGTAAATGTAGTGGAATAAAAATAAAACAATAACAAGAAAACTTAGATACCTTGACAGGGAACTTCAACTGGTTGTAGAGCTCTGACACCAGTAAGTTGTGACTGAGGGTCTTCCGCATCTTCATGATGCGCACCACAGCTGCATCGATCTGATACTGCCTGTCTTGAAACACACGCTCTGTGGTGCTTACCTGCTCCTCTACCTGTAAGGAAAATTTGTTTGAAAATGAGCAAGAACTAACATTTTGAGTGGAAAAAAAAGAAACTGTAAAGCAACTTTGGCTGAGGAGGAAGATGTGTAAGGAAACATGGAAATATGAGAGTATTTTTACCGTTTCCTTCATCTGGATCTGGTTGATCTTGATGCGAAACAGCTTGTGTTTGAAATCATTGTTGAAATTGAAACGGTCTCCATCCTCCACATCTTTCCCTCGAGGGTTCTTGTTGAGGACACGAGCTTTTCCACAGGCCAGCGACTGCAGTGTTCGCCTGAGCTCTCCTTCTTCTGTGCAGGACAAGAGAGAATCACAGTGTGAGACAGGAAAATACCTCAACCATAACAGAATGATGATGCAACATATTTAAAAGATGTGTAACCTATGCCGGTGGCAGTGCGAATCTCCTCCATGCTGAATTCCTCTCCCTCATTAAACATAAGCAGCACCAGCGTCTGAAAGAGGGAGACTTGCAACTCCTTCTTACCCTACAGGATAAAGTAATCACTGTAAGTGCAGTTCAGATGTTCTCTCAAGTCAGTATGTACATCTTCTCTACGCACCATTAAGCTGTAACAAGCTCTTACCTCTTTAAATTCTGCCTTAAGTACAGCATGGCCCAGGGTAGGCTGCCACTGCAGCTTCCTCCCACTGTGCTTACCCAGGTAGAAGAGCTTGAAGACCTCCTGGAGTTTTACCATCTTCCAAGACATAAAAAGATCACAGTTTATTAAGGGTCAGTTGATGACTATCATCACAATAAGGCAAATATAGTGAACCAAGGTCTCGTTCTGACAGTGTTCACCTCAATAACTTCACCTGTACACCAGGAAAATATACATATAAATAAATGTTGAAGGACATACTCTAATGCTTGAGTGCTACTTAAACTGCAAATTTAGCATTACATAGCTTCCAGGAGCATGATGTACTTCTAAGACACTCACATGCAGGTCAAGTGTATTTGTGTGGCAAATCAAAGTGTGCACAAAGAGCAGCACCCAAAAAATACAAAAAAAAGCTTACCTCTGGGGGCAAGTGGACCTCCATGGGTGTGTATGAAGGCCAGTAGCCCATTGTGAGGATGTTGACAGTAAGTTCTATGTTGCTTGGCTCACTCTGGTTCTGCATATACTGAGTAAAAACAGAACAATTGTACACTTGCTCATGAAAAATACATTTAATGACAGTGCAGTGGAATACATACACATACCTTACACATGGCATCACTATTTCTATGTTGAAAGATTGTTTATATACCCAGAGACTTAAGATACCTGTTTAAACTGGATCATGATGTCTTTGGACAGCTCCATGTCCTTGAACATCCCCTCAAGTTTACTGGTAAACGCTGCTCCGCATTCTGAAGGAAGTTGAAACAACATATATCACAACTGACTTGTTCTCACACCAAGACATACGCAGCCATGACAGACTATGTCAGATGTAATCAAATTTCATGCTTCAGCTACTTTAATACCGGGCAGATACAAAGGCATATTGTGCATCAAAGAAAAATGGATTTAACTTGTATTTAAAACACTACCCAAATTTTTGATTAAATCTTCAAGAACATATTGTGCAGGTAGGACCACTTTTTTAAATTCTTGAAAACATAAAGCAAATATGTGTGCGAAACAAGCATTTTAATTAATGACAACTTGCTTAGTCAAGATATAAGCGATCAGACTAGAGATTTACCATGCTTGAGCTTGGAGAGCATGGACTTTTCAGCATCAACAGAAGCACTCTTGCCAACCAGCAGACGCTTGGCCAAGTCCTTCTTATAAAAAGCTTCAAACACATCTTTTCCTGAAGTAGAAAAACAGAGATCAAGAGGTCTCAACAGACTGCAACCAAACTTCACAGTCATTAGTGACACCTATTGATTGAGAGTTTTGACATATGTATTCATCACACACACACACAGAAATGTCACTGACCATGTATGAAGCGGAAGATTATCATTATCTTGTCCAGGATTCTCTCCAGCTCCTCCTCTGTAGCCTCCTTGTTCCCAGCTCTTAACTTAGAATCCACATATTTAGCTGGATGGGAAAACCAAGAAATCTGTTTTATGGCGGAACTTATAAAAACCACAAATAGTATAAAGACTGAGCTTTTACTTTCACAAAGCTGTGACATATAACATTAGTTAAACCATAAAAAAATAAAGTGTCATTATGGTCTGCACTTATATAGCGCTTTTATCCAAAGCGCTTTATGTGTTTCTCATTCACCCATTCACACACACATTCATACACCAATGGTGACAGAGCTGCCATGCAAGGTGCTGCCTGCCATTGGGAGCAACTTCGGGTTCAGTGTCTTGCCCAAGGACACTTTAACTGTGGAGGGGAGGAGGATCGAACCGCCAACCTTGCGATTGGAGGACAACCGCTCTACCACCACAGTTACAGCCGCCCATTTATTAGTGTGACATACCGATAAGTTCAGCGGGTTTGTTGGGCCTTTTGTTGATAAAGGTTTCAAAGGCCTCCTTCATGGCGTTGATGAAACTCTCATTTCGTGCAAAGCAAGTCTGTGCCACGTTGTCCATCTTATCCTTGA